ATGCATGCCGATCGTTTATCATAATAAATCTCTCCGGTGGAGTGATCAAGTTGAGGGAGCACTAACCGGACTTGATGTACGAGACTGGAGAAGGCAGAGAGCAGAGAGGTAGCAGAGAGATGCCTGGAGAGATATGCTGCGTTAGACCGGAATCCGGTAACCGGTTGTTATGGCGAAATAAGAAATAAGTAAGTATTATTGTTACGTTATCTATGTCTACTACATGTTTCGTCTCTGCTATGTGTTGTGCTAAAGCAGTTGTTTTTTTTTCTGCCTTTATGTCATTTTGGTGTTCCTTTATTCCTGTGCATTAATGTCCATTTTGTAATTGCAAGGTATATATGTTTGCAAAAAGCTACCATATAAATCAAATAAAGCTTATTGACGGGCGGTAGCTTTATTCAATTTTTTTTTAAATATCTAATAATTACATAAACCTTTACACTTTTAATATTTTTATTAATATATAATAATTGATTAAATACATGAATATAATACATAGAATACAGAGAATGCTGTGTTAAACGGATGATAATCATAAACCGACATCTCTCTTCCACGTTAAATAATTATAGTCCTGCGTTTTAATTTTTCATACAAAGTACGTTCCTTTAGTGGGACTGAATTGCAAATCAGATTGGTGAACATTCATCGATTTATATAATATATTTTTTATGTCAGACAATATTGTCATTATATTATATATATTATATTGTCAAATAGACATTACATTTCGATAAAACTTTTAGACCTCTTATTATAAACATATAATATATTTAAAATCTGTGTTCCATACATTTACAGTAGAACTTGAGAAAAAAACTACCATACATATAAGCACGAAAAATTTTATTGTCAATAATAAAGTGGGTGTGATTAGACAATATCACGTAAAAGGTATTAAAAATGTTTTCCAGACAAATTCATATGACGTCTGTTAGAATAGAAGCATTTCATTACAATTCAGCAGAATTACGAAGCTAATCTCTCAAGTCAATAAGTTCAAATGCGTTTCAAATAAAGAAGATTAACTTTGCTTATAAACAATATTAATGAAAATAAATAAACTGATTATAACACTGCATAATATTCTTTAAGAAAAAAAAATTTTTTTTTCTGTGTACTCAATTACTTGCATTTCATTCAAAAAAAAAATATTTTTATTTAAATTTTTATTTCACATCCCTATGCTAAAAATACTACGAAACTGTGCATCATATCGCGTCAGATCACATCGGTTTATGTCAAGATATTGTATCTGTGTGGTACAAGTTCATGTCTTCCACATGGTACAGTTGTATCTGCATACGTATCAGTATGAGAACAAGTGCGAGTACTCGCATATTTTTGAAGCAATGAACTTTTGCATTTTTAATTTAACTAAAAATGTTTTCCCGTCTTATAATGAATACATTTTACTTTATATTATCGAATTGTTGGTGATAATCTAATCGAAAATATTAGTTCAGTAACCTAGTATTTGAAAGTCAAACTAAGTGCTATTATAAAATATTAATCTTCAAAGATTAAATGTATTAACACACTACAAATAAATACCTATAAAAAATTAATTATGTGAAACAGCATACATCTGTAATATATAATCCGTGATAATAGAAGTTATATACATATCGTATGAGCTATGAGTAAATATATTACATCATAAGCAATTAGTTTTATTTTCCATTTTTAAGTTTTCAGTATCAAATAGATTTTTTAAAATAAAATACAGATTTATAAGATCTGATTATCCTATCAAAAATCAAGCAGTAGGTTATAGAATACATATACTGGAGCTTTTGAGTGTGCTAGATTGATTGAAGGATCACAAAATCCCTTGAGCAAAACTATATCAACGCGTTTTGGATCATATCATATAGGGATTACTATATGTCTACGGACCTAATATGAATAACACAAAACATTAATTGTTTGAGAGATGGGCTGCCACTGGTGTCTTTCATCATTATCAATTCACAAATATATATAGACAAACAAAAAATAAAAGTAATTATATTTCATATACATATGAAACATAATTAAATAGCATCTTTATTTCCTTCAAATTTTTTGTTTATTATTTTTGTTATTTTTGTGAATTGATGATGGGAATAGCTACCGGACGCAGCACGTATTCCAAAAAGAAGCGATTGACTTAGACCTTGAAAAGTGGACACATTATGCTAGCACCGGTTGGTAGCATAAAAATTGTTTAACACACTTTTATAAAAAGATAGCCTTATTTTCGACTGAGAAAACAGTAGGTTTCCGTACTGAGAAACATCAATAGATTTTCGTACTGGGAAACATCAGTAGGTTTCCGTACTAAAAAAACAGTAATTTTCCCTACTGGAAAAGACCACTAGGTTTCCGTACTGGGAAACAACAGTAGGTTTTCATAGTGAACAGTAGGTTTCTGTACTGGAACATAAAAATAGGTTTTCGTACTGGGAAACAACAATAGGTTTCTCAAACAGGAAACAACAATAAGTTTCCCAAACAGGAAACAACAGTAGATAGTTGTTTTAACAAAAAAAGTTATTAAAGATAGGATATCCTCTGTGGTTATCAAGATATCTGCGAAGTGCCAGAAAGTGACTATATAACTTGGTGATATCATAAATATATGTTTGAACAAAATTACAGGACAAAGCAAAAAAACAAGAATGATATTTAATTTTGCTTAATTTCTGATACTTGACAATTTTTTTGCGGTGTTACAAACGTTCTGACAAATCTTATATACAATTTATTAAGAATAATTTCTGAGGTATAAAAAATAATTAAAAAAAAAACAAATAATTTATTACAAAAGCGAAGACCAATAATAAATACTAGAAACATAATTTTGTCATTTTCCTTATATATTTAAGCGACACATATAGTCGATTTCTAAATATATACATGATTAAACTCACAAATTAGCCAGAAAACGATATTTCAAAACTATATAAATAAGCGATTTATTTTTATATAACATTATATTATGACATTTACCCAACTACATACGGATTTGAGATTCACTCAAGCACAACTTATAAAATTTCAAGAAGTAATAATTCTAGACTTCAATCTTAATATAGTAATCAATTCACACTATGAATGAACGAAATCAATACTAAACGTATCCAATTAAATATGGAAATATGCAAATTTTAAATATAATTTGTAAAAAATATTAAAAGAAATGCGTTCTAAAGACACTTACTTAATTACTCTAGATATAGGAATCAGCATGACAATACTAATCTATATAGGATTTTTCGTGTATATATTTTTGCTTATATGGATATCAGTAATTTAGTTTATAAGTAGAACACATTAAATAAACCTTTTTAGATAGATAGCTTTTTGCACAGTCACGTAAAACCTATTTAAATATCTATTAAAATAATTGAGTTTATCATTAAGTGTGGGCACAATAGATCTCTGCATAGAAGTGCGCTAACCCTTTCCTTAATATACTTACAAATTTATACATATACAATCACGTCCAGTATAATGTTTATAATTTTTATAGCATTATGTTATATATAATGTGACGAAGATATCTAAATAACCCTTAAAAATATAATAACTAAAATATAAAATAAAGGATTTTTAACAAAACGATCTGTCTAAAGTGTTTTAAAGTTTTACTGTTTTTTAACTTAAGTTTTGTTATATAATTAATAGGTAATAAAATTAAAGATAATATAAATTAAAAATAAAATATAATTTGTAATAATCACAATTTTATAAAAATGCTGTTATTAATAATAGCATGATATATACATTGATATCTTGAAATATAAATGGCATTTAAATAAAATTATTTACCACTAAACAGATGGCTTTAAAATTTAATTAATAAATTAGTAAATATATTATATAAAATATGTGAGGATGGCTATTAATAAAAGTCATAAAATATAGCAATTCATTCTAATACAAATTATAGTAAATAGTTTTATAAATTAACAAAAAGACTAACTTATTTATAAGAAGCCACATAAAGATAATATATAGTATCAATATTTTTTAAGATCTCAATAAACAAAGTGAGTGAATAGTGAGCATTTACTACTAAATATTCAATAAGTATTAATATATTACTTGATAAAGATGAGTATAGTCCAGGAGTGAAAAACTATTTGACGATAAAATAGTTCAGGCTGATATTTTAAGAATTAAATAAAGTTCTTCTATAAACTAGTTTATAAATTAAAAAAACAAATTTAACCTGTTTATAGTTCTGCAGATGATTGATGCTATTAAAGCTTCTAGATCTATATAGAATGACTGATAGACATTTTTGATTTAGGAATTGTTAAGCAGAACCTAATTTAATATGGTTATAATAGGGAAAAGGAATTTGTAGTTTAGTTCCTTATTCTTAGTTAACTTTAAAATTAATTTTAGTGTTAACTCACAAATAAATAAATAAATATTGTTATAAAACGCGTTATGCCATAAATATAAAACCATATAAAGACTTTAAACTGTACATATCTTAATTCCATCGAACAACCTCCTCTTTTGGGAGTTTTCAGAATTAAATATTTTTAAATCAAATGATCTAAAACCCTTTAATCTGCATATATTTCTTTGTGCTCAAAACTCCAGCATCTGGAGCTTTGTCATTGTCATGGCCTTATAATCATATCACAGTCACGAGGCCATGCCCTCAGTACATGGTTCAATGACAATACCTGGTAGTGGTTGGCCAATGGAAATCACAACATTATTTATATTATATTAACATATGTTGATTAATATACATTTCTTGATTAATATACATTTATTAATCAATATCAATATGCATTTGTAATTAAACTTCATTTATATTAAAAAAATTATTCAATATTTGTATAAAAACAATAAAAAATGAATGATGATTATGAATGAATAAAATTCATTTTTTTTATGAATGAATATTTTCTTTTATGAATGATTATTTTCTTTAACATATAATATAATAATTATATATCTAATATAATATAATAGATTTTAAAACTCACCTATCTTCCATGCGAGGACGTCGACCAAGTACAGCAAATGCAGAGCTCTGTTGACGTATCTCCTCCCAACAGAGTTGTTCCCTACTGCTACTTGCGGCATCTAGTATCTTGTTACGACTACGTTGACGACCAAGTGTGGCTTGTATGCGGCCAATAATGCCGCGGCTCCATACATCAACAGCTTGTATATAAATAAGAAAAATAAATAGGATCACAGCACAAAATAAGACTTCTGGACGCAATACATAGAGACGACATAATTTCCATATATACGCCAATGGCGAATTTATGGATGAAAAGCCTACGGCGAATTTCGATAGAATCTTCATGTGTGAGACGTATGTTTGGTATAAGACCTTATCCTCAAGTTCGTCATCCATGTGATTTGGTATATATGATTAGATAAAAATTTAAATGTTTTTCTATGTGCACTTGATTAATTAAATCGAATTTTTAAATATTTTTTAAATATTTGTGCTTTATATTGTGGAGAATTCTATTACTCTTTTTATAGTTATTAAGTATATAAGAAATTATCTGTTTACTTTTATAAAAATTGAATGGTTACTTTAGCAACAGCGGTAAACAGGTCAGCATTATTTTGAATTTAAAATTTTATTCTATATGTATTCGAATTTTATATTTCGCCTAATGAGATATTAATGTGGTTTGCTTTACACTTTGTGGTTGCGTTGCTGTAAACCTGATGTCGAACCAACGGTAATTATTAACGTTAAGGTTTACGCTACGTTGTATTTGTCGTTGTGCTCACTGCCTAGTTGCGTTGAATTGAATTGAATTCAGTAAAAAAGTATTTTACAACATAACTATGTGTATATTTTATTTTATATTTTATTTAAATTTAGTATTTTTAAAATGATTATTTTGTTTAAAATTTATTTAAAACTTTTACTTTCTGTCAAAAAATATAATATAGTATTAATTTAATGTTTAAAATTTTATTTTTAGCTGCATTTATTTCATTGTTTTTGTTGTTCTTTTAACATTTTTGCTGTTGCTGTTGCTGATTGCTGGTTCAACTGATGTGAAACGTTACGTTACGTTGCGTTGTCGTGTTTGCTGTGCAGGGAAGATTCATTTGCTTGTCAAAAGACCAAATCTTCTTATTGTTTTTGTTCGCCTTCTTCACAACACCAACAAACACAAGTTAAAATTAAAAAAGAAATAGCGCAACAGCAACAATAACAATAACAATAACAACAATAGCCACAATAATCTGTCTCGTATATTGTGTATATTGGTTTTTTAAGAAATGAAGAATGAAAATATTCTTGTTGAAGTTGTTGAAGAAAGTTTTTCCTCCTTCAGGATAATAATGATAATGTACACAAAATTCGTTGTTATTAAAACAATTTATTATAATATTTGAATAAAACAAAAACAATTTTTATTTATTTGTAACTAATTTATTGGGCATATTTGATTTGAATGTACATCATCGTAGTGTATAGAAAAAATAATTTACAGAAAATATTTTAGTATGCTCCCGAAAAAGCATTTACGGTTGTTGGCCTATTAACGGCCTAGTATTGCATTTATATATTTTTGTGCACAAATTTTATAAATGAGCGAAAACATTAATGAATAACATTGCCACCGCCACACTTTACGCGAGTACAATTCGCCGACAACTGATTGAGTACGGCAAAAAACGGTTCGTAGTTTAGTAAAGCACAAACGACAATTGGCATAAGTTGTTTTGACAGTTCTCTTTTCATATATTTCGCTTGCATTTATAATTATATAAATAAAAATATTGGCGGTAAAAATCAGCAATAAAAGTCATTTAAATAAATGTGTAGAATTGTTTAATAATAATAAAAAGAATTAGTTTAGTTTCTTTATAAACTCAAAACTAATATATAAAAAACTCTCAAAGTTGGTAAAAAACAATAAACTGCAGAATGCAGTTAATAATTATTAATAAATTGTAAGAGTTTTTCGAAATCACAATAAAGATTTTTCTACTAAAGTATCTTGATCTTGCATAGCCAAATCGTGAATAATTTGTTTCAAATATAATTATGCCAGTATATTGCATTTGTTATATGCTAAGAAATTTAGTTGTGCGAACAAATGAAAATACAGTAGCGTCGAAAAATATTGTGCTTGGAAATAATTTAATTTAGGTTTTGCAGAGTGTAATACTGGATTCACACTATAGTTTTGTTTGTAATTTTAACTGTAATAAAAATTTCATTTTGGATTGAAACCAACAACAATTAACAGCTAAAATTACAAACGAAACACTCGTGTGAATCTAGTATGTATAATATTGATTGAGACTCCCTCCAAATTTTGCTTAATTTAAATTTAGAATTATCTTAATTATATATAGATACATATAAGGGCTCTATATTTTGAACAACTTAAATTTGGAATAATCTAATGTATTGGAATATGTATTGAATGTATTGGAATAAACTAATGTAATATTTGGTCAGGTTCGTTAAACAAATGCTATCCTGATATTGTTTTTATAGCTACACTTGCAAATGAAAATACCGAACAATATAGTTATATTTTACATATTTTTGTTTTAATTGTTCAGAATTAGACATAATATCGCAATATAACTGTGTTTTAAAGGAAAACGATCTAAATTTCGATTTGATTTTATGTAAATTACAATTTCATCGTTATCTCGGTCGTCCAATTTTTGTTGAAGACGGATTGTAATTTCAATTTGCCATATGAGCAATAAATAGGATCATGGTCCACCCTCCCAACTGGCTCAGTACGGCTAAAACAATAATAAAAAATTGTATCACATCAGAAGTGAATGCAAATATAATATGTAATTGTTTGCAGCTGTCAGTCACAAAAGAGAAAAGCTGAGGGAAATTGTAAAATTCCATAATTAAATTGAATTGGAATGATGAGTTCGACCGCAGTGTATTTCACAGCATCTTTATTTGGATCCTTGCTCATATTGCTCCTACAGAACCTATCCTATTGTAGCGTACCGCAATTCAGTATGCATACAATGAGTTTCTGCACAATTTACCGCTCAGTATAACCAGAGATATATAATAAACTTAAATAAACCCACTCTGCAAGGTATTAAGCCTTTCTCTCTTCCCTGAATACTGGAATACAGTTTCCATATTGCTGTGGAAATCTTCTCCATTCATTTCTAAGATATGGTTTTAGGGGGTTCAAGACTAACACTATTTGCTCACTAAGAAAATGAGTAGCAATTGTTATTGGCATGATAAGATAACGATCAGAAATGTAAGAAAAACATTCGTATTAAATAAAAGACCGTAATAAATTTTGGCAATTTATTCACCATTATTACATATCATATATTCCCTTTCCATGCATACTGAAATAACTTTAAATTAAACCACTTTTAAAGACTTTAAAAATTATAATTAATTTTAGAACTTTGTTAAATTTTAATTAATAATTAAATTTGATTGCCGTATAAAATATTAAAAAGAGTATATTATGTACTTCATCATTCCTAGAGAAATTAAACTAGTAATTTATATTTTTTTTATTTATAAAATCTATTTAAGCTGTGCCAGTTATGTTGAAGATAGTAATAAATCTATATCTTAATTCTTAATTTATTTCATAAACGACAACTTTCATAAAAACTATTTAAATTACAATAGGTCTAAAAACAGTGTTAAACAGAGTTATCTATTTTTTTGTCCCGGATATAAACGTACATCAAACTAACTAAAAGCTTTGTGATTTCGATTTTATTTAAATTTTTAATTCAATATATTTTTGGACCTTGCCATTAGGTGTGCAGTATAATATCATTCAAATATCATGTACAAAAGACCATATAGAACTGGAACCTTTTTAACTAATTTTCGATGACTAGTCAGCACAAACCTAGTAATAGCTTGGTCATAACTTAACTGATATTCGTTTTTAAAGTGTCGAAGGTCTACAAATGGTCCACATACATTCGTAGCCCTACAAAAAAGTCTAATGGTGATAAATTTATCAATCAATGATCTTGGTGGTCAATCCATATCCCCAAAAACAGCAATTACTCATACGGGGAATTACATATCTTTTGTTCTGCTAAAAACATATATATTCCACATCCGTTTTATTAATTTTACGTCAAAAAATTGATAATCACTTAGCCGTAGCGACGGATTTATAAAACCACTTGAAGAATTCTGACACCATACAATAGATGAGAAGCTCTTTTGATAGTTGCATGCGGATTTTAAATGGTTTACTGCCTCAGATGCGACAATTTTGTTTCTTGAACCATCAAGTCAAAAATCCGATGCTAAATGTAATGTTTCTATTACAGAATCATAATTTTTATAATAAGGTTCCACAATTTTAACAAGTTTCTCGGTTGTTAAAGGATTCATATTTTGTAATACCAAGAAAATTAAACGCATACTGAATTGAATAGGAGTTTTGAAATAGTGTTGCCTAATTAGGATCACAACCCTCTTATCTCTCCCTATCATGATTCCACTTAATTGATAGACTATGAATTAAAAGGCATTTGAACTTTTATAAATTTGATATCTTTTCTATATTTAAGTTCTTTTTTTCATTATGCATACTAATATTTACTCTCTACTTTATGTTTTCTTCTATCTAACGAAAAATGATCGATAGACCATATCTAGGTTACAACAACTTTATATCATGTGCTTTTTATAAGTCTTGTTGTAGTCCGCGTTATTTAAATGTTCCAATGTATAAATGAGAAGTAGGAAACCGAAAAGCGTTTATCAAAACTGACATGAGGGTCCTTTACATTCCCATAGGTAATAATGGAGATGGTATGTATTTTCTTATTGTATAAAAGAAACTGTCGATTATCTGATTTTATAAACATATGTTTTTTTAGATTTAATCTGCTTTTATGACATTTTCGTTGTTATTCCCTAGTGAATTCCTTTAATTATTGAGATAACGGCTTATTTCGTTTCGTTGATGAAAAAATTGTCCTTATAGTAGAGATGAGAAACTATTGGTTGTCACAGTTGATTAATGTTCCAGGACTCCTGAAACCAACTGTCTGTCATTATTATGGCTGGTCTATATTCAATTTTTTTTTATAAAAAATTAATTGTGGAGACATTTTAAAATAATAATTTTTATGATCAAGATTCATTACAAATAACTATGAAATTTATAACAAAATGGTAACAATTATCAATCTTACAGTGTGGAAAAGATGGGATATACCAAAGAGATAGAGAAGAGATATACCAAAATCACGTCCAAAGATAATGTGGAGGCGAACAGTATTTACCGAAACATTCAAATTGTTTAACGAGCTTTGATATATGGCACAGAATAGAGACAACTGGAAACTTTTTGTAGAAGACTAAGTTTCTCGACATGCAATAAGTTTCTAAATGTTTGTACTTTTGGAACATGTCATAATATATATAATATATGACCAAAATATCACAAAGTAAATCGAAGAATTGGTTTGATTTCAAGAATGGCCGGATGTACGTCCCGGAGCCACTTGTCGACTTCGACGAAAAGACGAAAAAAAAGACGAAAGAAACACATCCCAGCGGGCTACTACTTTGTGTAGATTTGGTCTAGCGATTTTACTATGTGTAGAGAAGGTGTTTTGTAGGAATTAATGGAATTCTGTATCGTTTTTATGTTTATGTCAAATTGTTGATGGCTAAATATGCTGTAAATTCATCTTGCACCTGTGTCTATATTTATTCAAGTTCAAATAATGTCCAAAAAGGGTTATTGAAAAAGGTAGTAAGCATTAATACATAATTTAAAAAAAAATATATATTAACGATTTTTAGCTTTTACAGATATTGCAAAATACTGACGAGCTTCACATGTGGAAACTAGATCAAATATTAGTACGTATGCTTTTATATCTTATGCAATTTAAAACGGTATTGAATTAAGTATGAATTCAAGAGATTATGTATATATACTTCACGTCCATTAATTAGTTTATAACGTATATAGGTACGTGTTAAATTATAACTCGATAACATAAGAAATACATAAGAAAACATTTTCCAATGAAAATTCCTATAGCGTAAAGAAGTTTTAAATCAAAAACCAAATTTTTTAGGTCATTATTTGGAACCACTTCCATTTTGGTTGGATATGACTTTTAAACAGATAAACGTTGACTGACCATGAACATCCACTCAAGAAAATTTTTAATGTATGTATATTTTCAGTAATAATGTTACACCTTCACATCGTAATGTGATTGCTCGTTCAAACACGGTTTGTAGGTTTCAGGTCCCCACTCCGAAACAATACTTATGTTAAGCATTGCGAAAAAACGCTTCTACCGCTTTATTCCATTTTCTACTACATAAGATACACGCTGCCAGGTGTTTTAAAATTTAAAGTGTCTTGATAAAACTATATACTCAACCAAAAAAAAAAAAATACTTTTGAAATCCCTGTTGGAAAGAGTAAGCAACACTTTGTCTGATCATTTGAAAAAACGAGTGATTCCGGAATGTAGGGCGGATCGCTCTAACTCACTATTTTTTCTTTTCTGATAATTTTATATAAAAGGTTAAAATCTTACTAAACTTTTTCAAATTATATTCTTCATATTATATTTATAGATTTCTGAAAAGAGTATAAGATATTATTGTTAATGTTTTATACTCTTCTTATATATATATAGTTCATATATTAAATTAATTGTTACGTTCCGATAACTGAACTTAGATTACTTGAATTATTTAGCGTATGGCGTAATTATAACTATTATAGTATAGACGTTATATATCATATTTATGTATATTATATTTATGGTAATATGATTCTTACTTTCATTACATTATTCTTTGTTAGTTAAATAAATTATAAATTCACTTTTTATTGCTTAATTTTTTTCGCTAATAAATTAATATTTATTACTAATAAATTATTATTGATATTAATGAATTAATATTTATTATCAAGCTAGTGATATTTATTATTAATGAATTAATATTCATTATTAATAAACACAAAAATATTGTTATTAAAATAATACTTTTCAATAAATTAATATTTATTATTAATAAATTATAATTGATATTAATAAATTAATTAATATTAATTAATATTAATAATATTAATTATTATTAATAATAAATTAATAATTATTTTTAAAAATAAATTAATATTTTTTAAAAATAAATTAATATTTATAATTAATAAATTGTTATTAATAAATTAGTATTTACATTTTTAGATAATTTTTAAGCTTATTTTTTAAATTCTTTGCAAATAATATTAATTTACTTTTGATATATATTTTAATCGTTTGATATGTTAATATATATTTTCAGATGATAATCTAAAATGTGATATTAAAATTACAATACCAAAACTGTGATTATGGCTTTATCAATTCAATTGTTTAAATGTTTTCTGTCGTTGGAGCTGTAGCCCGTGGGGATGTGTAGTCCCTTTGGAGGATGGTGGATGGCATTTAATCGGCGAAGTTAATGAGTTACTTCGGGACATAGACCCTTGGAGCTTTAAAGTTTATCTATGGTGTCCTAATTTCTAGCTAAAAGTATTGATAGTTACCGTCAAATAGAACAATATGAAAGAGGCTTTTCTTTAGTACAACCGGCAAATTAAATTAAATCTTTTATTGAAACTTTAAGGTCATAGAAAGGAGTAAACAATAATAATAAATAATTTAACTTTCTGTTTAACTAACAGTTATTTTTAGTGCATAAAATAATAAACAAACTATTACAGACATTCTTATAACTGCATAATTTTTATTTAAACATCGTTATCATTGTTATTTTATTACATCAGAAAGCGCTAGAATCTATATGGGAATTTCAAAACAAATGAAAAATATCGATTTATATGAGAAATTTTAACAACTCTCTTTAAAACCGTATGGAAAGTAAAGTAGGTCACCAGTTACTCAGAAAATAATTACATGCATATATAAAAGAAATTAAACTTTAAACTGTGTTACGTTTTGCGATGCGAGTGAATCCTATTATTTCTGGAATTAAAGTTTATAACACAATACGTTATGTACGTACATTAACATACACTTGAAGGAACTAAAAAGTGTTGATTTAGTAGTATATATTATTATTTATAGAAAAAATTAGTTTAAGTTTATGTTTCTTGTAGACAATATATATGTAGAAGAAGGGGAATTTTAAGCATATATAGAACACTTAATGTCAACGATAGGAACTATAGGAAGTCATAAGTTACAAAAAAACTTCAAATCTTTAAATGGTCTATATCTTTATAGGGTTAAAACAATTTTCAGTTAAATTTCAATAAATGAACAAAAATTTTTGTTGTTGTCTTTTCATGTTATATTCGAACCTTTCTAATTTTTAAAGTGATTTTTTTTCGATAATTTCAATTAGTAGGGCTATATTTTGAATCCATTAATTATAAATTAAATAATTCAATTTATATACTAGGTATATATTTATGAAATTTCATTCTTACGAATGAAAGTAATGGACTATTACATTTCCATTACATTTCTGTTAGTACCTATTATCACAAATAATGATTTGTTTTAATATATTAGTCAGCTACTTAAACTAAAGCGAAACCTGCTCAGCATCACGGTATCTGTGCTGACGGGACACTGAAATAGGAAGGCGTGCTATAAGACTGGGTCTACTCTATAATGACTTTTGCCGAGGTTGTGGCTCTGAGAATGAGGAGGAGACCATGCTTCATCTCATGTGTCAGTGCCCTTCTTTATCTAGAAGATCTGAGTAAACTGTCATCCTGTAATGTTAGGGACCTGATCAAGTTTATAGAACTGTCAGGTGTTGATTGTATACTGATTTAATTCTATGTATGAGCCAATGCTATTCCTGTGGTACACCAATGGGTCATCATTTTAGCTCAAATGGGCTACCTAATACCTACCTAATATACAAAAAATCTAATATTTCTTGTGATAATGAATATTTAATCTATAATTTAATTTAATTTAATACTTTTTATCCGTAATTATTCGTTCGATATTAGAAGGTTTAATAGTATATTATTTATCTAAGTGATTTATACCTATATCATTTTGAACAAAATTTTTATTTATTAATAATATTTTTTAATATTTTCTTTAAGAGCATTAAGCATTTTGCAATTTGGTATGCAAAACAGGGTAATGAACAGGGTCACAAACTTTATTGACTGGGCAAAATTTATTAACTTTTTTAGTTACTTTGAAATGGGTACCTGCATTTTGCAGTTCCTTCATTTACAGGGTAACAGGGAAATGAAGAAAACTGTTCGTTATAATATATTCACTGTTTATAATATAATATATAATCTAATAAAATATAATTATATAATAGTATGCTCACTGTTTCTAAGTAATCGGTAAACTATTGACTGCTTCTTTTTTAAAACAAACACATAAATTTGCAAGAATGTACGAGTATTAAGGTATAAATTTGATTGAATTTGTCAGATCTTTGTCACAGATCTTCATCTGTGATTTAAGTCCTGAAAGCGAGTTCTAAGCTCTAATTAGATCTAGAAATGAGAAGCGGAAGCTAGGGAACTAAGTAGAGCAGACACTAAAAAAATGTGGTGCATAGTTTTCAACGCCAATATAAAACACAGCCTTCCTAAAGTAATACAAATGCGGTTCCGTGTGGAATAAGTCTCTCCGAAAATAATATAGGCATTTCAATCCATATACTAGATATTAATAAGTTAGATATTAATAAGTTAGGGTGTTAGGTACACCATTCCGACGACGGTCGGTTTGACGGTGTATAAAATAGTTCACCTACTCACCACAAAAAAAAAAACATTACATCTGGATGATCAACTGCAATCAGCCAATTATTTTTCCTGAAAGTAATTTCCCCTTTTTAATGATAGAAAATGATATGTCAGCACTAGCTGTTGTGATTAGTAGGATAAACATTACCAGAAAATAAGTTTCATCATATTTTTTTCAATTTTAAAACCATAGGCAATATTTTAATACCATAATCCATTCACAGGGTATTATGTGAATGGATTTAAGTATATCTGTCTATCTATCTGCCTTTCTGGACTTCTTAAAGCGAATGTCGTGGTGGTTGTGATTGGAACCCAAACTTACGCGGGTAGAATGATTGTATTCATTTACAATCACTAGATATGGAGTTGCATTTTCAATCGGTTGCTTTGGAAATGCAACCTAAAGATCAGCAGAGGTGTAAGATAGTCCTCGCTCCTCACCAAGGAGGAAGTTATGCCTAAACACATAACTTTAAATAGTACCGGCGGAATGCCTCGGAGTTCCAATGCGGCGTTCATCAGTGCAATATACCGATGCGTGTGCGAAGAACATCGTGGTGTTTAACCTTCATGCTAAGTATCCAAGTAAAATTCTGGAATTTTATGTTTGCCTTTCTGATTCCATATATATACCACACCATAATTTTTATTCAATTTAGCTTCATACACATCCCTTGCTGCGTGCTCCCCTTTCATTTCTTAGACCAATATATAGTGTAAATCGATTTAACTGTATGTCTGTATGTATCTGCCTGTCTATATTTTTATCTGATTGACAGTCTATCAATTTATCTGTTCAGTTGTTAGCTAGTGCTCTGTTTTTGAGTTGGACGACTGAAACTTTGTGTAGGTACTTCTTGTGAGTCCAAATAGATCAAGTGGCTAAATGTATAAAATGCGTTCGCTATGGCATTAACTATTTAACAAATTTGTTGCTAAAAATAAGTTTACATATATATATGTTCACAGCTAAAAAAATTTAATTAATAAATCGTAAATAACTGATACTCAAATAGCTATCTCTGTGAAAAGTATTGAAGCCTTGACAAATCCAAAACTAACTTTTTCACATACCTTTAATTTAAATTACATTATAAATTTTATTATGAAAATGCATCATATTTATTATAAGTTTTTAATGTTATAAATATGAGGTGTTCTATTCTCTTCATCTGTCAATCAATTCATCTGTCGTCGAATCGAAAACATTTTCAGCAAATTCTTCTTAAAAATAATTGCCTTATTCGCGCTCATTCCACAATTTAAAATATAACAATTAAGCACACTTTTCTGATAAGATTTTTAATAATTATAAAATTTTTATTACCTTTTAGTTTATAACTAAATGTATTTTAGTTTTTTTTAATATTATTTCAGTTTCATTCCATAAAAGCTGAGTTTAACTCTGAAGAAATAATTAAAATTTTTTTCTTTGTCGTCTCTTTGTTTATATTGCGCATTTGTTTAAAAAATATTGTTATTTAAAGTATTAAATACAGGGTGATGTATTAAATTAGTTGCAATCAAATTTCCATTGTTAAGTTTATTTTTTTCTAAAGCACAGAAATGCTTATATGAATTTGCTTCACCTCTACGACGCGAATAAGTATTTAATAGGTTAAAGCAACCAACATTACCAACAAACCACATTAGACCCATAAAACTATTTAATTGCTATGAAAATTTAAATTTAATTTGGGAACATGCAACCTATAAGTACTATGAATACCTTTATAAGTCTGCATAAGTCTGCTCTAACAAGTAAAGTGTTGACAAACAGTCAACAGTTTCGAAAGGGACTGCACGTGTGGCGGGAATTGGTGGTCCTAAGAGGTTTGCATTCACTTTGTTAGAAAAAAATTTAATTCTATTCAAGAATAATTCCATACCAAAAGTTGATACAAGTGTCAATGAAGAATACTTTTTGAAGGTTGAGTTTGAAAATTAAAGGATAGGGATACCAAAAGCCGATAGGTTGGGCATACGGGGATGCCGGTGAAGTTTGCTATCTCAAAAAGGCAACGAGAAATATATAGTATGTCAGTTACTGGTAAAAATTTGTGTTGTGCTGCTTACTGGCGATAATATTATCGAAACTGTCACGGATTTCATCTATTATTGCACTGCCATAACTAACAACATTGATTGGAATGTAATCTGGCAATTGGGATGTAAAGCGTTCTATATGTATCTCAGCTATAAATCATGTCCGAAGAAGAAGAAGTAGCAATACTAATAATCTGTAAATATTTATTATGAAAAGTGTTTTAAGTTACAGAAGTTTAATTATTGAAGAATTTATATGAATAATAATGTTAATATGCCTACTTTTTGTAGGCCAATCTGACATACAACAAATATGTTATTGTCAATTTAGATTTCAAGTCAAAATCTATAATTTTTGTGCTGTACGAATCAATAATAAATAAATCCTTGAAACAATAATAAATAATAAAAAATAAATAAAAATTCTAAATGGAGTATTTGATAAGAGTATTTAAAATAAATATTCTTTGTGCTTTATCTATTTTTGGTTATCTGTGAGTGTGACGACTATAACCGACTATAAACCACGAGCTATATTAACTTTATCATGGACATTCATATTCTTTAGCGAATTAACATACAGCGAATATAGAAATATTTATAGGAATTGTAATTATAATTAATCAGTTTTGATACAATTATATTACCGAAAAAAGGATCCAACTTTTCACAGGGTTTCTTTCTCACTGGACACTGTGAAATCAAAAATTATCTATCGAACCTAGGTATTACAAGAGATAATAGCTGCAGACTTTGTCACGAAGCAATGGAACATATTCTATGTCACTGTGATAGACTCGCCAGACTCAGACTTCAGTACTTATCAACTGCATACCCATTTATAACGGAATTTGGCAACATTTTCCCAAAGGATATAATGATATTTTTAACTGCTACTCGTCTA